TCGTTTGCCTATATTTCCTTGAATAAACTTGACTTGACTTGAACTCCGACAATGATTGATTTTTGAGATTTTTAATTTCCTTTTAGATATGTACCTTTTAATATCTAATAGCTTTATTTTTGGGTTTCGTTAAAAAATTGTAAATTAATGATGTGTTGGGGTTCTGCTTGCCTCCCCATTTAGAAATGTTTGCAAAACGTGTCATTCACAATTTTTTGACACACGTCAAGCCTTACCAGCGAAATTTTTTGCATACCTTGACATTCTTCTCTCTGTAGTATTTTTCAAGAGCATCAATGCAGCCGCTAGTCACGTCGAAAAAACCATATTTTAGGGTAATGTAGCCCAAATCAAGCAGAAGTTTTGATCTAAAGTAGAGTACAGAAAATAAAAATTCAAACTTTATCTAAAATAATTGCTTTTTTCGTAAATCCCGAACATTCTCTGATTGATTGCCACTACTTTTTACAGGCTTGCATGCACTATGTCAAATAAAACGCTTTTTTACAGTTTAACAAAGATGAAAACCTATCGCCCAAGGAAAGGAAAGGCAATTGAGTTGCCTTTAAAAAATATAAAATGCGTGTTATGGACGGTATTCGGGTTATGTAAACATTATTACTTATCGTACACAAGAGTTTTCCATCCAGCTTATTAGACCGATTTGGAAAAAATTATTTCAGTAACAAAACTCACTAAAAATATAGTCATACAACCTTATGAATCGTACGGACTAAATATGATTTGGTTCTTCTTTACGTAATGGATTTATTGAAACGGTGGTGTTATTGTATGCGCAAATTTTGTTCCATTTCTATGTAATTAAGAAAATATGAAGAGTTTATTGTGATGAAAACACTGAGTGTTGTCTATGAAACTGTCTCTGTTCAGAGAGCATTGTCAAATGCATACTGTAAAACAAAGACTCGGAAAAGTAGGAAAATCCTATGCAATGTGTTTGCTTGAACGAGTTTAACATCTTTTCACCGACAGATTCAGATGACGCTAAGTGAAAGGTTCACTTTCTTTTACAAATCAAAGGAATACGTTTAGCTTTAAAGAAAAATTTTTACAAATGACACCAGTGAGTAATTTGTGAACTAAATAACAAGCAAGTGCTTATTAGTGAATCTTTTGTTTTGTAAAAAGCAGTCATACAATGGCCGTCTTCATAAGTCATTTCTTCCCATTTTCCAATTAATTTTCTAAAATTTTCTTACTAAATGAAGTTTTTCTGCAAAGAATTCTAGGAGCCCATCATTATATCAGACCGCTTTCTCGTCGTTAGAACAAAAAATTCATGTAAACAGGATTGGATGGAGCAATATTTTCCCAGTGCAAAACTTGGATCTTCTTCTGGGTCTGTCGGACCGGACGTGGTCTCGACTTATCATACAGTGGATTTGCGCCAGGTCTGTTGAATAGTTAACGATACTAGCTTGGTTTAAAAAGCAGATTTTTGCTGTTGTAGTCCGACCTTTTTCCAGTAGCTAAAAATAAATTATGCCTACCATACTTCTCCAAACGCATGGCAAACTTTCTTGAAATATGACCTTACTTGTGACATAGAAATTGTTTAAGCATTTTTTCCCCAGTACGAATTTAAAGTAAGCGTACACAGCAGGATCCATAAGATTCAAAAAGCTCGCAACGGATTTTCAACTACATCCCGTCGTTGCATGAGTCACATAACGGAGAGTTGCATACAGCAGCTTGAATTTCACAAAACGTCAATGTATAACGGCAAGGGTCATAGTTCAGTGTAAATTATGAGCAACTGAAGGGCACTACATTAGATCAGCCTATAGGAAGAAAAGGGGGATAGAAAGTTGGCGCTAACCAAGTCATTCTTAAAACTAGCTGCCCAATTACTAAAGTAGTTGGAGCTGGACCTCGTGGTTCAGCTGTTTGGACATGTCGCTTTCCTCCCGCCTTATGTAGGTCACTTCCAAGTAGCGCAGAGTCCCATTTGTTTGTGCCCGAACACGTACTCAGAAAGCAGTTTTGAGGTTCACAGATAGAGCAATGTCTAGCAGATGTTTAGTAATCGAAGGTCCTGATACTCTGTCTTCGTTCATGGAAAGCTGCCAGTTGCCTTTGCGTACGCCTAATGTGCTTGCTTCCACAACTGCACATGAATTCATAGAGACAATTTGGGGTGGCGCGCAATGGCAAGGGTTCCTTTGCCCCTTTTACCGGAAGGCTTTAAGCAGGTCTGATGAACACGAATTCAGCTGCGTTGTAATTTCTTTCTATGGTAAAACGCAACCGTCGACTTATTGTCTGGCCTGTGGAAAGCCAGTGATTTGTGCGCTTGTCGGTAAATTAAAGAATCTGTTCTTGGTTGTCAGCAATTATTCGCTGAGGAAATGTCTTACACTCCTCGTTGCTTAAAGAAGTTACAGATTGTAAAATGCTCGAGTTCCCTTCCTATCAAAACTCCTTTGAGACTGCCCTGCCCCACATGCAAACTATTCTCGTCAATAATAAATCATAATGGCTTCAATTGTCCAACAATCACTCGACCGTTTGATGGGAATCTGTGAAAACGATTGAGCACAAGGTGTCATTACCCAGTTCTATTTGGTTCTCCATACGATATGCGTCGTGAACGTCTTAATTGCCCAATCAGGTTTGTGTGAGCCATCTATGAAACTTGCGGATAGCTAAAGCATCCGGATAAAAAATACAAAGTCCTTTGTTCATATTGACTGCGTTATTTTTCGTTAGGTCTAAACCAGTCAGCAAACTATCTAGCAAATGCCTAATCCAACACCTAATTGATTTACAAAGTGGTGTGGTTCATATGGGATAGATATACATATTTCCTAAACAACATTCAAATTAAAACGAATCAAAATTATATTTCTTTGTGGTAGCCCCTTACTCATCCCTAAGGTACTATTCCATAGGGCACGAAGAGCTTCCCACCTCGATAAATAATTCAGATGCTCCATGGGCATACTTGTATAAGCTTTAAAAATATACTTTCTCAGCTAAAACTTTTTTAACTAACATTCTATTCGGGCAACGTGGTGCGTAAAAAACGTATGTTTTCTATTCCGATTCATGAGGTTACGTCTTATACTATCGAAGTTACCAATTCGGTTTACTAAAAACTGCCTAACTACGGGTTTGAAGATATACAGAGACGCATTTATGTTTTTTGTGCTTATTTACCTTGCTTCCTCCGAAAGAAGTCGGGCAATCTTCAAAAAAGCGATTTGTTGTTTTTCTTCTTGCTCTGTGAGCACACGTTTCTCCGTCTTCAATTGATTTCTGCGTATTTCAGTGCTTAGCAAACTTCCAGTTTCCTCGTCTGCGTTTCGCATGTCTCCCAGTGTCAGCGCCTTGTAGAGCAAATGTACTTCTGCGTCAAGCTGTTGATCAGTTAATTTTCTAAGAAAGACAAATTGAGATCTCGTTGACTATGTTTTGCGTGTGTGATTTAAATTTTCAATGCGAAATCCGTCGAAGTGTCTAAAAATCACCAGATTAGGATGAAACACAAAAACATTGTCGGATACAAATGCAAAGAGGCTCGTAATTCCCAATGGAAAAATTAGGGTTAGGAAGTGTATGTGTGCATTTGAAATGTATTCGAATAAGGAACAGAAGCCAAATATTTTTAGTATTCACTTTTCGATCAAGATCATATATCTCTATTTTGCTTTTCTAATGAAATAATAGTATTAATGCCAACGCAGTACGTTGTTTCGAAACGCTTTAAAAATGTGTTAGTTACCGAAAAATGCATTAATGCTTCAGCTGAAAGTAAATCATACCTTTTTAACAATCGAATACTCTTTTGTTAAGATTAAACGTTACATAAGTATATTTACCGGTAAGTTTTTAATAAATGTTAAGTAATTGAAAGCAT